CCATGAGGTACCCATTTTCCAAGTTTAGGAACTTTTCCAAGTTGTTAAAGATGACGATGAACAGTTGTATGGTTTGAACTGAGAACCACTGCCAATTCCTCAACTGATAAAGCAGGATTTTCTTCAAGGGTTTCTTCAAGAAGCTTTTCATCAAACTCAACTGGACGTCCGGTTCGATCTTCATCTTCAAGGGCAAAATCTCCACCTCTGAATTTTGCAAACCATCTTCTGCAAGTTCTTTCATTCACACATTCCTTTAAATAAACTGAGTGAATGTTTCTAGCTGCTTTGGCTGCTGAGTTTCCTTTCTTGAACCCATAAAGCATTATGGGCCTCAAATGATTCTTGGATACTTCCATGTTAGCAGGGTTTTAATCAATCAAAATTTAATTTTATTGTTCTCTGAAATAAAATTTGATCAGTTTAAATGTATCTAAACATAAAAATAATGTTCAGCTCCATTAGACATGATAAAATAAATACTCTTTAAATTTCGTTCATTTTAACAAAATGTTAAAATTCAGACAGAACTTATGGGATGACCTGATATTTACTAATTCCTCTTACTGAATTTTTATGATGGATTTAAAGTAGGTGCCACCACCATTTTCATTGTAATTCCAGGTCATAATTTCTGTTTGGGAAAGGGTTATTTTGAATCCTATGGATTTATTTGAGGGATGGAGTCCTCTTTAATATATGAGCAGTGCCAAGGAGCTGAACTCCTTGTATCTTGATGTTGCCAGGGATTTTGTATGTTTTCATCCCTCTCCTGATCAGACCAAAAGCACCTATTACCACTGGTGTTGTAGTTTTAATGTCTCTTCTTTTTTATGTACCATGTCCCCTCAAGATGTAGGTAATCATGGCTCTCCACAATTTCCTGTCCTTTGTAACTCTTTATAAATATTATCTTTTCATTATTTCTCTTTGTTATATTCCATGCTAATAGGAATATATATTTGTACAACATTGTGGATAAAATAAGTAAGGTTTATTGTAAAACCAGTACAATAAGAATAAAGGTAACAGTTATGCACAAGATCGTCGCAAGTCAATCCAGTGGTGAGTGCTACTATTGGAAGGTTGGTAGTTCTTGTGTAAGTTTGAGTCATACTCAACAGATCCCAGCTAGCCTCTGTAGTCCACTGCCTTACAGATACTTATTGGTAGTTACTACATATAGTGTAGTCACTCATGGGAGTGACAGGTTATTCCATTGCTTCACTGTATAGCAGTGACTAGCAGCATGGCCCGGCATTGCCCGTGCTTGATTCAAAAATTGTACGACTCATACAGCAATCGCTATCACTTGACTTAAAATATTTTTGCCCTTCCCTGCCTTTAAAGGAGTGCCCTTTGCCGTGCTGATGTTGCTACATGCCTCACTTCTTGCCTCCCTCACACTGCGAATTTTTTCTAAGCTCTATACTAAACATTAAATCTGTTACGAAAAAAGAACTAAACAAAATGAACACAAAACAATCAGCTTTAAAAAAAGAACTCATAACTGGAAAAACCAAATGAAAAAAGAATGTTAACAACAAATACTTTTTTCACACCCAACCCAGTTCTGTGGAATCAGAATCAACGTTGAGTTTGAGCAAGTGAATAAGCCAATTGGAGTAAAGTGCTATGCAGATTTAAATTTTTCCCACTTGTGACGAATGCAGCTATCGATTTTTTTTTGCATGCTAGCATGCTAGTTGACATTCATGTCAGTCAGCTGTTGGCTCTCACAGTGACTAATAGAATCTTCCTGCCTATTTGTGGCAGCCAGCTATAAGCTCTCACTCTGGCCAGTAGAAAATGGCCGCAAACTACATGAAAACTGCTGTAGAAGCATGAAAAAATTGATTATTTCCACTATCGATGGGAGTTGGGAAATGCAAAGTCGGTCTTTGCCTTCCTGCTAATTTGGAGTGTGTGCATGTAAATTTTGGTGCAAATCCGTCAAAAATTGCGGCCGTGCATTCGTTACACACACACACACACACACACACACATCCTGCCTTTTATACATAGAGATTCTTCTCTTAAGTATACCACAAAATATAGTCACGGCTTACATATATATGTGTGCATGGAAGTAGTAATGGTACCGCATTGGTATTTGAATAAATGAATAAGTATTAAACTTTTTTTTGAAATAATTCTTTCCACTATTCTTTGATAATGTTATTTTAAATATTTTGTCTATATTTCTAAGATGAGGTATTATGTACACTATTTACATTATTCGGGCTATTGTCCTCATCTTTGTTGCCATATTTATCACAACGTTTCTGTTGTACACTCCAGCCTTCTTCAGGTGGAGAACTTGGAGAGTTGAATTAACAGGAGATAACTGATAACTGACATCCATTAGACATGACACGTGGAACTAGAACAGTCTACCCCAGCGAGCGAAATAAAGGGTTCAGTTTGAATTCCAACCACCTGAAGAAGGCCGGAGCTTACAATGGCCGAAATGTGATAAATATGGCAACAAAGATGAGGACAATAGTCCAAATAATGTAAATAGTTTAAATATTTTGTTTTAATATTCACTTAACATTCAAAGTAAGTTAATATTTGTGTGCGTATATTTTTTTAAAATCTATGTTTTTATTTCATTACTTTTAAATGTATATACTTTAAAAATTTTGCCAAGTATGCCATGATATTTTCATTTGCTCCAAGGTTTGCTGTTGCTTAAAAAGATTGACAAACACTGCTGGATAGGTTGAATAAGTCTGGCGAGAAGAAACATCATTGTCTTACACCCTTTTCTATTTTTGTATATCTGCTGAATTTATTGTCTATCCATATACAAGTCGTTTGCTGCCAGTATAGGTGATTGGTTATTCTAATGTCCTTTCTGAATATGTCAAGGTTGCTGAGCAGCTCTAATAGATCCTTGTGGTGTATTTTATCGAAATTTATAAAACACAGGTACATGTCCTTCTTCATTTGTTTTGCTCTTTCTGTTTCTTGACCTTGATACTATTAATATCCTGTTATAATTCTGCTTCTGTGTGATAGGTTTATGGCCGCAAAGTTAAAAAGAAAAATGACCAGAATCACTACGGAGGTGCAGAAAGACCTGATGTTTTTATGGAAGGTGACTCCTTTCCGAAACAATAACATTCGTTCCCTTTCCCCTTTCTCACCATCTACTAGTTACCGCCATCAGCTAAGATACAAAATAAGGAATGTATTGACTTGTGGCAGTAGGCAAAGTTTAATTAATGATATAAAAATATTTCTTAAATCACCTGAACAGTATCACCTACTTATAATATCCTTCATGTTAACACCAGCATTCTTAAGGACAGATCAATCAGCTAACTTCGTTTCTGCAACCAGATATACTTGAATGAGTATAGCAAAAGATCAAAGACTAAATACAAAAGCTGAAGAACAGTCTCGCAAACATTTAACGGAAACACCCACCACTTACCGACCTCAATATAAACGGAGGAAAATTAGGGCTTCGGCTTCAGTTCTCTTTGCCCTTTCATCAGAAAGCTGGACAGACTGGGCCTCTCCATTAACCCCCTAAGAACTAATTAGGACGACTGCCTACTACAAAGAAGGAGGAGTCTCTCTCTCTCTCTCTCTCTCTCTCTCTCAATCTCTCTCTTCTTTCCCTTTCTCTCTCAGGATGATCTCTCCATTGACCATCAAAGAACTAATCTGACTTTACAAAGAAGGAGGAGTGTCAAAATTATGGCTTCTACATCAGTTCTTTTTTGCCCTTTCATCAGAAAGCAGGGCAGGATGATCGTCTCCATTGACCATCAAAGAACTAATCAGGATGACTGCCTACTACAAAGAAGGAGGAGTCTCTCTCTCTCTCTCTCTCTCTCTCTCTCTCTCTCTCTCTCTCTCTCTTCTAAATTAGTTCTTTTGCATCAGAAAGCAGGGCAGGATTCTTTTGACCATCAAAGAACTTTGACACTCAAAAATGGCTTCTACATCAGGGAAAGCAGGGCAGGATGATCATCTCCATTGACCATCAAAGAACTAATCAGGATGACTGCCTACTACAAAGAAGGAGGAGGAGTCTCTCTCTCTCTCTCTCTCTCTCTCTCTCTCTCAAAATTATGGCTTCTACATCAGTTCTTTGCCCTTTCATCAGAAAAACAGGGGTAGGATGATCGTCTCCATTGACCATCAAAGAACTAATCAGGATGACTGCCTACTACAAAGAAGGAGGAGTCTCTCTCTCTCTCTCTCTCTCTCTCTCTCAAAATTATGGCTTCTACATCAGTTCTTTGCCCTTTCATCAGAAAACAGGGCAGGATGATCGTCTCCATTGACCATCAAAGAACTAATCAGGATGACTGCCTACTACAAAGAAGGAGGAGTCTCTCTCTCTCTCTTCTTTTGCCCTTTCATCTCTCTCTGATCTCTCCATTGACCATCAAAGAACTAATTTGCCTACTCAAAGAAGGAGGAGTCTCTCTCTCTCTCAGTTCTTTGCATCAGTTCTTTCCCTCATCAGAAAACAGGGCAGGATGATCATCTCCATTGACCATCAAAGAACTAATCAGGATGACTGCCTACTACAAAGAAGGAGGAGTCTCTCTCTCTCTCTCTCTCTCTCTCTCTCAAAATTATGGCTTCTACATCAGTTCTTTGCCCTTTCATCAGAAAGCAGGGCAGGATGATCATCTCCATTGACCATCAAAGAACTAATCAGGATGACTGCCTACTACAAAGAAGGAGGAGTCTCTCTCTCTCTCTCTTATGGCTTACAATTCTTTGCCTTTCATCAACCATGATGATCGTCTCCATTGAACTCTATTAACTCATCAGAAGGATACAACAAAGAAGGAGGAGTTTCTCTCTCTCTTCTCTATTCTAAGAACTCTAACTCAAAATAAAAAAGGAATAAACCAAAAACATTGTTCACAAAGGGTTTATTAATTTTGAATATAAAAACTAACATTCTGTGCCACTGTTCACTGTCTGAAATCATCGTCCACCGATTGAAATCACCAGTAGTGGGGTATCCAATGTCTGCTAGCTGACAATGACAGGTCCAAACTTCCTAGTAAAACAATCTGGCTGTGCTTCTTATATCTTGATGTTGCCAGGTATTGGGGTTTTTTTTCCCCCCACCCTTTCTTGTCCAGATCAAGGACGCCTATCACAATTGTTGTTGTTGTCTTTATGCTTCACATTCTTTCAACTTCGCTTTTCTCAGTTTTTATATTTTGAGAGTTTTTTTTCCATAGTTTTCAGGCAGGTGTTTCTTTTGGTAGATTCAGACAAGTTGATGATCCAACAAGTTCTCTGTTTCTTGTCAATCATTATAATATTTGGTCTGTAACTGAATGAGAGAATGGAAAAGAAAAATCTGATGTAACGTGTTTCGTCCTTCAAAAGGACTTCTGACTGAGAGACAAAACATGTTGATTTTTTTTTTCCATTTTGTCATTCAATTAATTGTTGGAATTTTTGGGTACCGTGGTGTACTAGTGAGCCAGCCAAAATGAGCTGACTCATTTTATAGTTCACCAATAGAAGGGTTAACCAATCAGAAGGCTCAAAATATTCAATGCGACGTGTATAAAGGTGGCCATGTTTTTTTTTCCCAAATATTCACTGCCAGCCTTTGATATCGAAGACTGAAGAATTACAGAACAGCTGCTGGTGGTATTGGCGATATAGTCAGATTCAGTAGAGTGTCTGATTCATGAGTGTTAATCTTTAACGTTGTTTCATTGAACAGATTAAGTACTGCGCTGGATTCTATATTCATAGACTATGGTGAACATGGTCAACATTAATCTCTTCTAGTTCGATATATAGAATTTATATATCATTTTTTTTTTTTTTTTAAGCCAAGTTCATCTCAAATGTATGAGAAAACTCCTTGGGAACATAAAACCAATGAGTTTGTGCAGAAAAGGGTTAAAAGTTTAGTGGGCCTGCAGAAACCCCTTCTTGCCACTGTCAAACGGAGAAAAATGTTGTAATCTGGACATGTTACAAAGCACGACAGCCTACACAAGACCATCATGCTAGGCACTGTCGAAAATGGATGTAAGAGAGGACACCAACACAAAATCTAGTTGGACAATGTCAAACAATGGATAGGTATGACTATATCAGAATTGCTGATGGCTGCTGTTCATAGACTATTGTGGAGGAGATTCAGTGTGGTTTCTGCATTCAGATCCCCATCTATGATTACAAAAGTTAAGGAGATGATGATGATCACTCCATGAAAGGCAGTAAAGCCACTAAGACACTAGGGTTTACTGTGTGTTCGAATTAGAAAACAGAAACATTACTAAGAAGCAAGTAGCGAAGAAGAGTAATCAGGAGGACAGTAGATAGTGATTGACATTGCATTTAAATTTTTGCAGATTAAAGTTCAATGGAAAGGATGGGGCCAGAAGGGAGTTCCACAAGTGAAAAGTGAGAAAATAAGCTGTTAGCATAGAACTTATGGTTACATCTAGCCAACTCAATGGTAAATTGGTGAGACCTCATTGCCAGTCTAGTACTGCACTTAACTTTTTAAAGTCTAGGTACCATAACAAAGAGCGATATTTATTCTGTTTTATACAGAAATGTGGCACATGGCCGAAAAGGGATATTGGGGAAAGGATGGTCTTCTTCTGTCTTAACTATAACTTAGCTAGCTGCAAGACCCAATCGCACGAACAATATTCCTTACACCAAAACAACACATTCATATGTACCTTTCTTATTACAACCACCATAATACCTCTTTGTCTCTATGAAAATACTAACTAGTCCCCATATTTACAATTCATTGTCTGTGCGGGGAGGGGAATAAAACAACAATTCTAAAAACTAGCCCCAATGAAGAGCTCATCAGAACAATTACCATGAAAGTATTTATAGAAAAAGCACAGGGAAGCAATTTTATGACGGTGGGAAAGTGACTGAAACTGAGATGTCAGATCAAGGCTAATAATATTGCTGATTCTTCTTTGATTGTATCATTGATCTCTAGATCTATAGCAGGTGCAGCAATATTCAAAGCCTGGATAAATGATAGACTTATAGATATGTAAGATAGATTCTGGAGAGAATATGACATATAAATTTCATATAACCACTCATAAATTTACTAACTTCCCACTACAGATGAGACGGGAAATAGATAATTCAAATACACATTGATAATTATTATATGGTTGATTACCACAACTTCTTGGAAAAATAATAGAATGTTTATCCGGTTACCTTTTTCATGGTTTTTTTCTTCTGGACTGGTTGCCACTCAAGGCTAGAAAACCCAATCTACACTGTTATGTAACACATAGCTGATATGAGAAGAGATGGATTTATATCTTTCACATGGGCATTTGTGCAAAAGTGGATGCAACAGACTATGCTGGAATTTGAACTTGGCTCACCAATTTCATTTTAAAAACATACTAAAAAAAACAACTCTCCCAACACCCAGCCATATTTCCCTCACTACTGCTGCTGATGAACTGAGAAGCACAGTGCATCGACCCCTTGGGGTACTCCCATCCAGTTGAGGTCAAGCAATTGACATGCAATGTCTTTCCTTCTTGTCCGTCACTAATATATCAGGTCTGTTAGCCTTAAACTCATTATGAGTTTGGATTGGCATGCTTCCCTGTGACTTTTCGATAAATATTTTCATAGCAATTGTTCTAATAAGCTTTCCTCTTTGGTACCTCAACCTCATGAATTTAAGTGTACGCATAGGTACTCATAGTGTCCTCAAAAAGTGTACTCATAGGTACTCATAGTGTCCTCATATACTGTACTCATAATTTAAGTGTACTCATAGATAGGCAAATCAGTGTCATTGTTTTACTGTTGAAATAGCTAGATATAATTATAAGTTTTATTCTAATTAGTTTTTTTTCTTACATTTCTCATCTGTGGAACTCTCTTAGATTTTCTTGCTTTCCAGAAGATAAATCGTAGAGAAATTATAATAATTGTCCTGATGCTACACCAGCTATGGCTCTCATGGCTTCTCATCTTAATTGATTGCAGGTGTTAAAATGTGCATAAACTAGCTGGATCTAACTGTAGGTTCTAATTGTGTCTTCTCTTACAATTCTCACCTGTGGAGGCTTACAGTCATATCCAGTTGAAACACCAATTCACATACCACCACCAAAATTAAACAATGTCGAGCCTGGTCACTACCTAAATGGGTGACCGCTTTGGAATGCCAAGTGATGTAAACTTGGGTGTGTGGATGGTGTCATGAATGATGGCTTGGAATTGCTAATCAGGAAGATATGTTCTAATTCACATTGGGTTCGTTATATTCACTTTAGTGCAAATACTCATGGGGAAGTTATAAATCAACCTCTTCGACACCCCAGCTATGGATTAATTAGTAAGACTTGCATCACTAAACCATTATTATCTCAAAAAAAAAAAAAAAAAGAAGAAAAATTTCATGCAATTTAAAAAAAAATATTTTCTGGTTTTTAAATAACATGCAAAGTCATAGAAAATGAATCAATAAATCCCCTGTGGCACTCTCTTGCAGTTTATTGCTTTTCCTATGAACCCACCTCTTCTCTCTCCTAGCTATGGGTTAATTAGTAAGATTTATAAATTTGTATCACTAAACCATTATTGTCTCAAAAAACAAGTTCATGCAATTTAAAAATAAAATAATTTCTGGCTTTAAATAACATGCAGAATCATAGAAAATGAATCAGTCAATCCCCTGTGGAACTCTCTTCTGATTTATTGATTTTCCTATGAATCCATCTCTTCTCTCCCCTAGCTATGGGTTAATTAGTAAGATTTATATCACTAAGACATTATTATCTCAAAAAAACAAAAAATTCTTGCAATTTAAAAAAACAAAACTTTTTTTTTGCTTTAAATAACCTGCAAAGCTGTAGAAAATGAATGGATCAATCGCCTCTTGTGGTTTATTGCTTACCTGTTGAGTAAGATCTTCAGAAATTTAAATGCAACATGAATTGCCATCTTGTCTTTCTGAAACTTGTTCTTTTATTGTCCTTTTTCCCCACTAATGTTTTCTCATTTTCTTTCACTCTCAGTAACCCCTTGCGTCTTAGTGGCATTATTGCCTTGCTTTAGATGCAATGATTAAAAAAAAAATGTCCCAGAGAAGAGTAGCGTCATTGTTTTCTCTTACAGCTGACCACTCATGTTTATAGACTTTGTCTTCAACTTTAATGTTATCATATTTACAGATGGCCCAGTGGAGATATTGTCTTTTTATTTCAATTTTTGATATTCTTCTTCTTGTAAATTTACAATAAAATCATGCTTTTAATTTAAATGCTACTCGTCCTAATCTGTGTCTTTTCCCCTTTGTTTTTTTTTTGCAGTCTTGAAAGCCGGGATAACCCTTTTGTTCCTGGTGGTGAGCTTGCCATAGATACTGATGACATTTTGAAGAGAGCTACAATCGTGCGGGACAAATTCATTCTTGATGAACAAGAGAAGCAGAAGTCCGAGAATGAAAAGTCAGCTCTGGTCCAGGACAAAACGGATGGGCCATCGGATAAAGACGTAGGAAAGTCTCCAGACACAAAAGGTCCCGGAAAGGACCTTCCAAAGGAGAATGGAAAGGTTGAGGAGGAGAAGGCCGAGGAACAAGCAACGCGTCCTCCATCGGGAGGACAAACTGGCGATTTGCAAGACGCCCCTAAGGAAAAGAAGAAACAGAAAAAAAAATGCTGTACAATAATGTAACGTAACAATTCAACTCTTTAAGAAAAAAAAAAAAAAAAAAAAAAGGGAAAAAAATGTTAAATACCTTAACATTTTAACAGTTGCTTTTTATATGCAAAAAGGAATGAAAAAAAAAGAAAGAAAGAAAAACATACGCACACACATACACACAATCACACTCAATCACATACATATACAGACACATACATGATATTAAAAGAGAAAAAATAATAATATTAAACAAGATAAAAGACATTGCATGGTTATTATTATTATTATTATTATGATGATGATGATGGTGAAGGTGATGGTGAACGAGGACGAAGAAGAAGAGGAAATATAAACTTTTGTTACGGGAAGGAAAAGATGAAGGTTTAATTGTCTAGTGGCGAAAACCAAAAAAGATACTAACTTTGAAATTGGTTTTACAAAAGAAATTGACAAGAATATATATATATATATATATATATATATATATATATATATATATACTTTAAAAAAGAGATATCAAAAAAGATATTGCAAATAGTCAAGAAGAAAAACAGCAATGCTAATATAATGTAAGCTAAAACTGCCATTTTTATTACTACACAGTTAATAAGTAAAGTTAATTTTTTTTTCTTTTAAAAGAAAAAAAAAAGAAAGAAAATTATTTTCTTTTAATAAATAATAATTAGGTTAAATTAACAAGCATATTAATGTAAACCTACACTGGCTAACATTTTGATTTTCATGATAGATAAAAAATTAAGTGTCATTATTGCCTGAAGGAAAAATTTACAAGCAAAGCAAAAAAGAAGGAAAAAATGTTGAACAAGTCCTGTACATGGTGGTATGGGAATGTTCCTTGACTAGATCATAGAAACAAAGTTAAATAAATATAATAATACTCTGGTAAATACTAATATATCTCCAGTGGCAGACCTTCAATTTTGGGCCCCTTAAGCTTGAACAGATATGGAGACCCCTTCACAACAAGCAACAATAGATTCGAGGGCCCAACTGCCCAAATGTAGGCTATAAATAAATTCTGCTGAGTTCAACAAGTCCATACAACTGGGGATTCAGGCATTGCAAGAAAATTTTGAAATTAGACCAATTACAATTTGAGGCCATATGAAATATGTATTAGACCATATTCTAAAGCCAACATTAGCTACTTCAACCCATTGGCTTATGATTCTATTGCTAAAATGGCCTTATTTTAATAGCAAACAGTTAAAAAAAAATAAAAAATAAAACATCAATTTTGTTGAGAAATTTGCTCATTAAAAAAAAAAGTTGCTTCAGGGGCCCCTCTGGGATTAGGGACCCCGAAGCTTAAGTTTCATTAGTTCCATAGTAGGTCTGCCACTGCATATCTTGTACGAGAGAAAGAGAGAGAGAGAGAGCTAATGAATTGTTTGGTGATAATCCTCAAGGATGAGTTCCCAAATTATTTCCACGTTTTCTGGCATTTTTAATAGCGATTGCTCACCCTGAAAACCCATCATCATAAACTGACACTCAACTGATCTTGAAATGCACAAAAGCATATGTTCAACCCAAAGAATATTTACCAAAAGCCTGACAAAAGTATTTTGAGGGTCTTGAAATATTTGTCGAACTTCACACAAAATCTGAAGTCAGCTATCATGAAAATTGCAGAGCTATTTCTGTATGACAATACAAAACCTCATGTAAAAATAAGTATCATAGCACAAAGTCTATTAGCAGACTGACTCAGTAGTCTGGGTATTGGTGAGTGTTAGCTCTGCATGCATTTCTGTTGAACAGTATGTACAGTCCAGGAACTTTTCGATGCCATCTTGTATTTGAGGGATTTGATAATAAATAGATTCCTGTTTAAAGAAAACTTACTAAAAAAGCAATTGTGGATTTAAAAAAAAAAAAAAAAAAAAAAAAAAAAAAAAAAAAAAGCACAAAAATATACCCTTTCCCCTCTTATAGAAGACAAAAAAAAATTATGATTGCAAAAG